CTATACCCTTTGTCGTTTTGACAAACCAGAACACACTCTTTTCTCTTATCTTTCTGCGAAGCCCTAGCCGATCCAATTCCGACCATAACTCAACCCCACAGCCGTAACTCTGTCGCCGGGTTTAACTATCCGCTGCACCTCTGATCACTGATACCTGAAACCCCTCAACCGCAGTTCCATTCCTCAGAGAACATCGAAGCAAATTACACAAGTAAGTCTCTTCGACTTCTCCTTTTACACGCACAGTTGCTCTTAGATTCTTACACACCATAAAGCTGATCCTTTTTCTTGTTATTCCTCTGTCAAACCCTCAACACAGCTTGAACCAGCAACTGAAGACTTTCCAGATAACAAGCACAAACCAATTTGGGTGATGATTAACCCTCTCCGGTTATAAATATTTACTTTGAGAAATTTGGTGATTTAGAATGCATAAGAAACTGTTTGGTAATCATAAGAAATTTGAGAACTGTCATGATTTAGAATACATTTGAGAGTAGACATCTAGAACTTATGATAGATATCAACAAAGAAGTTATAATGTCTTAATTTGGGTCTCGGATTAAGCGTTTGTAACGAGGTACGAAGTTTAATCATCGATTGAACTTTCTCTGCTTGTAGATTTTGTGCTGTGGAACTGTTTGGTAATCATGTTTGAGATTTGTCTGAATCACTTCATGTGTAACCAAGTTTGAGCCTTTGATATCTGACTTGTGGTGTGGTTGTGTCTCTGGCCTTGTATCCCAATTTTCAGCGCAGAGATTATGGCAGAAAGAGCGATACTAGGGTTTCTGCAGAACAATGAGCAGATCCCGGATACAGGTCAATTTTCTGCGGAGCACAACCTTGACCACGATCAAGTTAAGAGTGTCATCAGAAGCCTACAGGGTTTTCGTTACATCGATGCTCAGGTACTCGTAATCTTAGATCCTGTAGTATTTGGTTGAATTTGGTCTGCGGACAAAGGAGAAAACTGATAGGGTTTCGATTAACAAGGGTCTAGTGGCTTGTTAGCTTAGCAAGCTTTAATATTTTCCCACAAGTTTTTCTATCATTAACAAGGTTAAGTGGAGTAGCTTCGCATTTTACTTCTTATAACACAAATTGATTATTTCTACAGGACATTACTAGGAAGACATGGGTTTTGACTGAAGAGGGAAAAAGATATGCCGCACAAGGATCACCAGAGGTACAACTTTTCTTAGCTGTGCCAGAAGAAGGCAGCATATCAGTGGTTGAGCTCAAGGTGATCACAATGTACATGCATATGTATATATAGATATGGTGGGATTTGTTAGTCATGCTATTAAAAAAAATTCTTGCTTTTACAGAAAAAGCTAGGTGAATCCATCGACAGTTTTGCCTGGAAATATGCTAAAGAAAACAAGTGGGTGGANATNGAAAAAAAGCAAGTCTCAAGGAAGGTAATGCAAGATTGTTCTGAAATGGTTTAGTTTCTGTTTATCTGCTTTTGGTTCGCTATCCCCTTTTAAGTTCTGTTTGCTGTCTCTCCTTCTGGTACGGTGTTCTTGGATCAATTAAGCCTATTTCACACGCGGTCACTTTCTGTTTATTTATTGCAGGTTCAACATGTAGATGATGTAGTGCAAGCTCTGCTTTTACAGATACAAGAAGGGAAGGTTTGTGCCATGTCATTTAAGTAGAGAGTTCTACATTGCATTTGCCTTAATAATTGATATTGATTTAAGTGTCCCTTTCTACCCTTCAGGAAATTGACGAGGACGGTATCGTTTTTCTCAAAGGCAGAAAAAATCTCATAGAACTAGTGTAACTCATTCTACTTTGGGTTTGTTTCTTTTGCGAGACTCTATATCAACAACTTATATCCTTTCTACTTCTCAGGAAATGGAATGGGTATTCTTTCATAAAGAAAGGTCCTAAGTATGCTCCAGAGAGAAAGAAGGTGTCCACCGATTTGACTCGTGAAAGTCTACTAAAGTTTGTCCTATTCCTTGCCTCTTTTCAACCGTTTAGGTAGGTAGATATTATACAATAACATTGGTACTTTCCTGCAGCTGGAAAGAGTTAGAGTTTAAGGAGTATAACTTCAATGCTAAAGGAGCACCTGTTGAGGCTGGTCATCTTCACCCTCTTCTCAAGGTAAGCTGACACCAAAAAAATTTGTTGTATCCCTTTAGTGTAAGCCTTGTGTTTCATATATATTGCATATTATGGCTATCTTTTCGACATATAGCTCAATTTGTTGTCTCAGGTGCGGAAGCAGTTGAAAGACGTATTTGTTCAGATGGGGTGAGAGAGACTGTTGGCATATATTGTAGTTTTTCCATTTTTCTGTTACTGGTCAATTATTAATGGTGAGCCCTTATGTGGTAACAGGTTTGAGGAGATGCCAACAAATAATTTTGTGGAGAGCAGGTATAAGGCTTATGGAGATCTTATTAGACACTTGTTCTTGCTATTCGTGGGCTGATCTGAACCTTTTTCCTATACAATGTAGCTTCTGGAATTTTGATGCATTGTTCCAGCCGCAGCAGCACCCTGCTCGTGATTCTCACGACACCTTCTTTCTAAAAGGTCCAANATCTTGAGTANTTAAAAGTCACTGATTTTATTTNGGGNCAGCTTTTNNNNGGTTGCTTGATGACATCCCAATGACTATCTAACCCTTAATTTTGAGTTGCAAATNTTTCTTNGAGTGTAGCTCCTTGTACGACAAGGACACTTCCAGAAGATTATGTTGAGAGGGTGAAACGTGTTCATGAGTCTGGTGGATATGGATCAANAGGGTAAATGACTTGTATTTCTGGTTATTGCCTCGTTTTAGTTGCAACTAATCTGTAATCACTCTGACATGGCCTTTCTCATTGAAGGTATAATTGTGATTGGAAGAGAGAAGAAGCAAACAAGAATCTTCTCCGAACTCACACAACAGCTGTCTCTTCTAGGATGCTTTATGCACTAGCACAGGTCTGACCAGACTTTTAGCTTATTAGCGTTTCAATTCTCAGTCCCATAACTGTGTTATGTTTGTTTCCAAGTGGTTCACTTTACTAGCTAGCCCACTTAAAGGTTGTGGAAAGTTGTTTCCAAATTTCAGTAGTATAACTAGATTTTTTCTATCTGTTCTGTAGAAACCTTTTTTCCCCAAGAAGTATTTTTCGATTGATCGTGTGTTCAGAAACGAGGCTGTTGATCGGACCCATCTGGCAGAGTTCCATCAAATGGAAGGTATAGTACTGATTGGCAGATGTTGTTGTTACAGTTGGGGGAGGGGAATATTTCAAAGCTAGCATCATGATCTGTCAAACTTTTTGAATTTGCATATTAAACCGGCTAAATGATATCTAATGTTTTGATCAGGTTTGATATGTGACCGGGGACTTACATTGGGAGACCTGATTGGTGTATTAAAGGACTTCTTCTCACGCTTAGGTAAATGCTTCCCTAATTTCGCCATTTGATTCTCAATTTTTGGTTCTCGTACACTC